TAGTTTTCTAGATTTAAAAGCGCATAGATCCAGTGGCTTCCTAATATCGGAAGGAAGAGCGTTCCAGACGGCCGCAGAAGCGCATCCAAAAGCGCGATACAAAGTCAGCCTTTGTTCGATGCCCAGCAAAAAGCCGCTGCTGCTGCTGCAAGGATGACCGGATGGAGCTCGCGTGATGATTGATGGCTGAAGATCACCGGAGCTCAGGTGATGGTGGTTTATGTTCCTTGATCGAGATCGGCGAGGTGAACATCTGCCTCACCTTGAGTACCGACAACAGCTGAAGAGCGAAGTCACCACGGAGTGCCCTTGACAACAACAACAACAACAACTGACAAGCCGGCAGCGGCAGCATTCGTGAATAGCGAGCTGATGAGACCCAGACGGTCAAAACCATTCCAGAAGTTGCCCGCTTAAACAAACACAACTTGATAGCGTTAGTCCGCAGAATCAATAGGCCGTTGGGCGAACCCACGTGTTTATTTAGTTCAGCTTACACTTTGCCTTTACCCGTAATGTCCTGCAGCAACATGGAATGCGTTCGTAGCGTGCAGTCAATCAAGTTGACTCGTTGAGTCGCAGCGCTCCGTCTACCTGGCCAGATTTGTTTAGAGGACAATGTTCGCTCGACTTGCCGATGACCAGTGTAACAACAACAGCAACAATGATGATGGTGATGATGATCACAGCGCTGTGGTGTACAGCGTCCCGAGTCTCAACACTCATTGTCACGTTGGGCCACAAAGTTCGTGAGAGGTTTTATTTTGGGGGGGGGGGGGGAGTTTGGCTTCGTGTGGCAGCAATCGGGACACCTACTCGCGCAAGGCGGAGGGGTGACGCTCAGGTGGCAACTCGGCACTGCCACCTCGTGGCCGCACCTGCCAGCCCCCCGCCTACAGCACCTGGCAAGCCCCGGGTGCAGCTCGCCCCCGGTCGCGTTGCCACCCGTCCAGGTTTCATCCGGACTGGCGGAATTTTATAATTTGTACTTATTTTTTACTTTGAATATGGGTCTATTGCGTAGTTAATGTTCGATCATCGAAGGGTTTGCGTGTTACCCAGTAGCTAGTTATGGGTAACCATTCAGGCGCCAATGAACACAAACACGTGTTCATCAGAGAACATGTTTACATTGTGATTCTCACCAGGCACCTCCACGGTGTGGACGATTGCACCCTCGCGCTCTTCTCATCCACCCTCCATCCATGTGCTGCGAGGAAGGGTCATTGCCCGAAACGTCACCTATTATGTTTTCCTTTTAAGGCAATACACACAGACACACGGTGCTCTTGGCGAACGTGTTGCGTCGTGATTGGTTGTCACGGGGGTAGGTGTCTGGGGTTGTCGTGACCAGGGCAGTCCCAGAGGGATTGCCATCGCAGCGTGTCCGGGCCGACAGCGGGAAGCGATTTGCGGCGAGAACCGCTGCCGGTGTCGCTGCCGATGAGAGGGCCGAGCGCCGGCTGAGATGCACGCCCGGGGCCCTGGCCAGCAGTGTAAAAGGGGGGCGCGCGGCCCCCTATCGCGCGGCAGAGCGCTAAGCAAGGAGGGGGGGGGGGCTTTGTCACGCTCAGCCTCCTGGAGATGCGACGAGATCGGGGGCGCAACCCGGGTGATTTGGTTGTGGGCAAAACGGTTTTGATTTGTAAATCGCGAAAACGAACGAGGGGTCGTGTTCTCTGTGCTGGCAGCATCCGAGGGTGATTCACCCCGATATGGAAAAGTCACTTTGGCACGCGATGCCTCGCACGCGTTGAACGACGATGGCGAATCGGTGGCGAGATGTTAACTCCCTCGCCCGGTATGCAGGAGCTCGTGGTTTCGATCCCGAGCCCTGCTGCTGTATATTTGGAGTTTGCGGTGTCTCTCTCTCTCTCTCTCCCCATGGTCGCGTCGATTTGTCTCCGGGCCCTCCGGTTTGTCCCACGACGTTTAGAGTCAACGTCATCACGCGTTGTGGAGTGTTTGGCCACTGTAAATTTCCACATGTGCGTGTGTGTAAAAGTTTACTTCCTCTCATCCCCCCCCTTCTGGCCCCCATCCCCCCTATACACCCCCCCGCCCCCCACCCCGATCCCCCCTATACACCCCGCCCCCCACCCCCGGTCCCTCCCCCCCAGGCCGCGAGCCCCGCGTGCACGGAGCTGGAGACGGTGATGCTGGACTGGCTGGCGCGGACTCTGCAGCTGCCCTCGCACTTCCTGGCGTGCGGGGACAACGGGGAGGGGGGCAGCGGAGGGGGGGTCATCCAGGTGAGGGGCGGGGGTAGAGGGGGCAGCGGAGGGGGGGTCATCCAGGTGAGGGGGTCGAGGGGGAGGGGGTAGAGGGGGCAGCGGAGGGGGGGTCATCCAGGTGAGGGGGTCGAGGGGGGCGGGGCGGGGGGGATCACCCACGTGGATGGGTTCAGAGTCTATTAAAGGCTATACGGGGACCTTTGTCTCTGTCTCTAGGGGCTCCAGGGTGGCGAGATGTTAATTTACTCGCCTGGTGTGCAGGAAGTTGTGGGTTCAATTCCGACCCTGAACGCCTGCTATATTTGTATATTTATGTATATATGTATATTTATGTATATATATGTATATTTATGCATATATATGTATATTTATGTATGTAGTTTGCGCGTTATCCCCGTGGTCGCGTCGATTTGTCTCCGGTTCCTCCAGTTTTTGCCTCCACATTGAGAATCAACATCACGCGTTTTAGAGAATTTGTCTGCTACAAATTCCCACGTGATAGCCAGGTCGCTTCTGGTTAAAGAGCTGCATAGCTCAGTGGGGGCCTTACCTGGTAAAATTAAAAATAGTTCAGTTTGTTTTAGTTAATCTACCGTGCTGTCAGCATCCATCACAACTCGCTGTGCTGTCAGTAAGCCCTTAAGATCACTCTCTGGCAGCGGAGCGTGACAGTAAAGTATGACGCAGGCGTCGTGCCGCATGGCTCCCCCCCCCCTCTCTCTCTCCGCTGCGTTGTTGTTGGGTCGTCGCTCAGTCTTTTTCGGCACAGTGTCCAACGTTTAGCTCCACGTGCTGGGAGCTTCTTCTGTGCCCCTTCCACTGGAATCAACTCCACGCGCACACAAAGCAGCCCCCCTCCTTCACCTCCCATGCGTTCCTCTCTCAAATCCTCACCACCTCTTGCCATTCCCTTCCACTTCGCTCACCCCCACTCCGTCCCGTCCCTCCCCTGCTGCCATTTCCGTGACCCCCCCCCCCCCCCCCACGTGTGCCCTCTGTTACGGTCACTCGTTTCTCGGCCCTAGCACTGCCCCTTTCATCCAAATCACGATAGGGTAAGAGGCGAAGACTCCTCCGGCACGTGCAGCGAACGGCGGGTGGTCAAGCCCGATGGCACAGGAGAGAATAAACGCGTTGCATCTCCTTCACTGCAGCAAGGGCCCTTATGCACCTCACTGCGAGATCTCAACTCGCCACGAACGCCCTTGGTTTGCAATGGGCGAAGTTGCTCCCGCCTGGGTTTGCAGCGGTCGTTCCGCACGGCTCTCCGTCGCGTTGCTGCTGCTGTTGTTGTTGTTGTTTCCGCGGTGCGTTGTTCGGTACGGTGTCCGACGTTTTGGGGCAGAACGTGAGCTGCTCAATTCAGTTCCGGCTGAAGAAGCTGCCGACGCGTGGAGCCGAAACGTCAGACACCACGCTTTTGCGACGCAACCCTGATCACGTGCGCGGGCGAGAGTGGCAGATGATTGCACGTTCAAGTGCCAACTTGCTGTGTTTTAACCACCCGGCGCTCCGCTCGTTGTTGTGGGCGTCGCTCCTCCGCCCTCCGTTGTTGTTGGAGGGCGACTGCCTCCAACTGCCCAATAGCGTCCTTCACGAGCCTCCTCCACAGAGGCCAATCTTGACACCGCTGGTACCAGTCATCGACAAGTCCACTCAGCTCCACGTCCTCCTGTACCACATCACTCCATCTCTTCTCTAGCCCGTGCCGCGCCCGTTTAGCCCCCACGATCCGGCCGAACAAAAGCTGTTTCGGCATGCGGTGGCTGGGCATGCGGGCTACATGACCCAGCCATCGCAGCCTTGCCTGCCGGAGGAGCTCACCGATGGGACTGTATCCAGATCTTTCAAGGATTTGTGAGCTCCTCACACAATCCAGCCTGGTTAAACCCAGGATGGATCGTAGGCAGGCCATCCTAAATGTTTATAATCGGTGAAGATGTTCCATTAGGGGGTTCCACGTTTTGCAAGCATAGAGAAGGGAGGGAATTACTATAGCCGAGATGACCTGAAGCTTCGTGCGGAGCGACAGACCAGGTAGCTTCGACGGTCACCACCACCATCAACACCATCACCACCATCGCCACCATCGCCACCATGGCCATGATCGTTCATGCTTGATGAACAATGAGGCCTATCCGAACAGAATTCATCATCGGCCATGTCAATCCACTGCTGGATGAAGTCCTCCCTAATCAACGGCCATCACTCACGGTCCAGAAATGTAACAATCCAGCCGTACGTAGCCAACCGTGCTAATCCGCACGAGCTGGTTTCATTGCTCCATCTCCTCTGCGGACGTCCTCTCGGACGCGTTCCATCTCTTTCCATTTCGACCATCGCAACGTCATGAGAGGTGGTGGATGCTTGGCGTAGCTTCCCCCAGCAGTGAATTAACCAAGGCTGGTGATGATTATGATGAATGATCTATTTAACACGTAGGCTTTAACGGCCAATGTTATCCATAATAGAGGTTTTTTTTAAAGTTGTAAATGTAAATGTTGTGGGTTTACTCCAACACACCGGTGTGCTGTACGAGTAACTAATTGGCACTTTTTGTTTACGCGACAAACCTTACTAATTGGCTGTGTCGGGTGGTGGTGGGTTTGGCAACACATTTATATTTACGCGACCTAACCCCCCAACAAAACCCCTTCATTATGGGTAAATGTCTCTCGTCGCCGGTTTGAACCCAGGTCTCCGCTGCAGAGGACTACAGTACTCGAAGTAGCGTTGCACACCGGCGAAGTAAAGTCATCGAGTCGATTCTCACGCGAGTAAAATGGCCTTTATTTATTTATTCGTTCATTTTTGAAAGCGCTCGCGAGCTTAGCACGTAAGGCTGCCGAGGCGGGCGGAATAACACGCGCGTCCACACCAACCGCGCTACTGCAAAGCGTACAAAAGACATGCCACCGTCGCCGCCGGGGTCAAGGGGTGCGTACTAAAGCAAACTTGGAATGCGTTCCGTTTTTCTCCCCGGCAGTAGGCGTTGCAAAAATAATGATGAGAGCAACAATAACCCGCGTGATGCAAAAGCGATGTGGATCGTGCGTCGAGCTGATCACCAGCCAGACACCTCCAGGCTTCTCGTGCTTATCTCACTGCCCAGTCAGTTGACAACAGAAAACTCAACGCGTTCGTCAATAACACTGCGTGGCTTTAAAGGAAAAGTACGTGTAACACGTGACGTTTCGGGCAATGGACCTTCTTCATAGCAAATGTGCTACGCTTTTATTTTGTCAATTGTGCTTTTGCACCACTGCCAACGCAGCAGCAGCACCACCGCCAAATGATTTGTCCCGTCCAGTGAGATCGAAGTTCAAACGTCAGCGTTTATAGCCAAGGCGAAGCGTCTCTCTCCCGATGGTTGATTTGTGATACTGCGTAGACAGAGGCGAGTAAACAATCACACAAACAACTCGACACGATCGTCGATGACAGTGGGCCAATATTCGTGGCACAGAGGTCTGTGCCGTGAATGCGCCACGGGTGAAGGGCCATTGCCCGAAACGTTAAATATTTTTTGTTCCCTCGAGGGCCACAGTGTTATCGATGCACGCGTCGGGCTCCGCCCTTGTCGCGAGCTACGTCTCGAACGACCGTGACGAGCTGGTCTGTCAGACGAAAGCGGGCGGGGTGGAAGCGGAGTGCCTGGATAACCTGCGGGTCGCTCCGCCGCGCAACGACCACAAATGCCCACGCGGTGACCGCAGCAGCAGCAGCAGCAGAAGCTGCAGCAGCAGCAGCAGCTGCAGCTTCACCAGCTTCTGGTGCTGCTGCTGCGGCCGTCTCCTCGCCTCGGATCCCCGCCCTACTTGAACGACGCCTTGATCTTCTCGAAGGGGTCCGAGTCCCACTTGGTGGGGTCCCAGGCGAGGAACCAGCCGGTGAAGGTGGGGGGCTCGTGTCCCTGCTTCACCACCACCACGGGGGTGCCCTTCCCCCTGCCCGACGGGTCCGTCTGCAGGTACGACGTGGCTGTGAGACGACACGTGGAGTGGGGGGGGGGGGGGTGACACGGCGAGTTTGTGGGTGTCTATGTGAACACGTGGGTCTCTACGCGAGGCTATGTTTGTCAATGGGTGTCAATCTGAGTCTATGGGCCTCAATGTAATTCTCTGGGTTTCTGTGTCAGTCCACAGATCTCTCTGTCTCATCAACATCATCATCAGCTACGAACAATCCACTGCTGGATGAAGGTTTCCCCAATCCATCTCTGTGGTATTGCAAAGCAATGATGCATGGAGCCCCTGCAGACGAGCTCATTCCATCGCCGCCATCTCAGAATCAGAATATTTATTCATGCCGGTGGATCTCGATGAGAAATCTTTTTACACTGCACAACCGAGCCGCGCCGAGGCTGTGCCGAGCCGGCCCCGGCCCGGCTCGGGAGGATGGCGCCAGGTTGTTTTTTTTCCACTGCGGAAGCCGAGCCGTGCCGTCGACGCGTCGCTCACGGTGAGCGAGCCGAGACGCGCGAGGGTGGCGTGGCGACGCCGTGTCCTCGCAGTGTCCTGACTGAGGTCACACGGCATTAAACCCGCCCCTGGCCCTGCTTGGCCCCCGAGCCTGATTCCGACGTCTTCCCAGGCCAGCCGAACAGCACGGTTAGGTTCCGGCTCGTAGAAAAACCACGTGCGCTCCGAGGGCCCCAAGTTGGCACGGCCCGGACGTGCCTGAGTAAAGGATGACAAGCGCGCCCTATGGGTCTCCGTGTCAAACTACGGGTTTACTTGAATCTGTGCGACTCGGAGTGAGCCGATGAGTCCCACGTGAGTCTATGGGCAGACACCTCGTCATCACCGCGCGGCGCTCTCCGTCGCACGCCTCATTGGGAGACCTCACCGGGCCTGGCACGCGTACCGGGACGGGCGTCTGCCCGACGGTGCCTTCGCTGTGACTCACCACACTTGAGCGACTCCTGCTTCTCCACATCGTTGGCATCCTTGCCGATCCACACGAACAGCTGTGGGCACAGGAGGGGAGCAGTTCCCCCGACACCGGTTACACGCGGGTCAGGGAGCGTCTGCGTGATCCACCAACCCCTGCCACCAAAGCGACGGGTTCACGGGCGTGCCACCGCCAGCACTGCCAGCACGAAGGTCTCCGCTCAAACCTCTCCGCCAGTCTCGCTCCACTGACCACAGCGAACCGTTCCCCCTGCGTCGCACGGAGCAACGATCTGCTGATCGCACCCAGAGAACCGGGACCCTCCTGGCTGGGCACCGACCGTCTGGAACTCTCTCCCATTCTACTCTACCGCACATTCGCAGCATCCAAGCACCATCACGCCTGGTTCAGGCTCTTACTTGATTCAGGCTTGCACCTGGTTCAGGCTACAATAGGAGGAACTTTGAGCTCTGGCTCCGCACCTTCCATGTTCTCGATCGAACATTGCGTCTGATTCCAGCAATTCGTGCGTGTTACAAACGGTGTTTATAGTGACCACCTCCCACAATCTGCCTCCTGAAGGTGGGCAACCCAGGACACGCAGCGGCCACCGTTGACGCGGCCGATGATGCCGGTGATGTTTTCACAAGCCCCGCCCAATCACCTCCCGTCCAGCGGCACATTCTAATATGCACGATAAATAATATCAATAATGTTACCAGGAACCTACTTGCTGTACTGGCCAGGTGGCTGAGCAGTAAAGTGAGCGAATTAGACGGCTGCGAGTTTAAATCCTGCTTTATCAGTTGACTCGGCCCACCTTCCCTCCGGGGTCGATAAAATTACTACCACTTTGTGGGGAAATCAACAGCGGGTATGTTACGGAGATACCGCCCCCCCCTCCCCCACGTCTCTTCCCACCCCCGCCATAGGAATGTGGAATTTCCACCACCGGCTCTGCGAGGTGCAGGAGATGGCCTTGGCGCGCTGGCGTTCGTTTTAGACTACTTGCTGTGCTGCACGCTGGGATCAGGGGGACAGCACCTGCTCCCAGACGTCGAGCAGCATCACGTCGTCGGTGGCGAGGTCGTCCTGGGTGAAGTCGCCCGACACCTCCTCCACCTGCGAGCGACGAGGTGGAACAGTTGTTGAGCGAGCGATCTCCCGGCGCGGCAGTCGAAACAATAAACGGGTTTCTGAATCCTCTCCCCCCCCCCCCCCCCACCATGTCCCCCCCGCTGTTCGTGTCGCTGTTCGTGTCGCTGTTCGTGTCGCTGTTCGTGAACGCCAGTGGGTGGGGAGCCGTGGCGGGGAGCGTGCCTGGAAGCGGCCGGTCTTGTTGGAGCAGGCGAAGAGGCGGGGCGGGTGGTCGTTGTAGTTGGTGCTGAGTCTCGGCGAGCTCTGGTAGTCCTTCTTGCCGCCCAGCAGCGACCAGAACTCAGCTGCGGGGGGGGGGGGGGAGGTTGGGGGGTGAATGTGAGCGGGGGGAGGTGTCGGAGGGAGATTAGAGTTGGGCAGGGGAGGGGCAAATGAAGTATTTGCCCAGGTGCCCACAACTCCAGAGGGGTAAGCGGAAAAAAATCCCTCCACAGGGATAGTCCAGGTGTGAGTCGATGGCCAGGCCATCACGTGTGGTGGGGTAAAGTTTGGGTAGCTCCCACCTCTACCATCAGGCCAGCGTGGAAGAGTAGACAGTGCCTGTGAATTCAAGAAGGCAGCCTCGGGTGTGACCCCCAAGCCTTTTGCAAACAAGTTTGTCCCTGGTTTTAAGTTTCCCCTGGCCTCACGCTCGCCGCATGATCTGGCCCAAGGGCGGAGCTACCTGAGCAGTGGGCGGGGCCAGTGACCGTGTGGGTGGTGCTCGTGGTTCAGAGGGCTACTTAAGAAGGGCCATTGCCCAAAATGTCTCCCATCGGGTATTTTGTCCCTTTGGCGCTTGTGCACCGCTGCCAACGCAGCAGGCGGCAGCATCGCCAAACGACGTTTCGTTTCACGTTTAAATTGGGCGGCGGCAGCGGCCCCGTGGGCGTGGCCACGTAAAGAGTGGGCGGTGCCGTGGCCCCGTGGGCGTGGCCACGTAAAGAGTGGGCGGCGCCAGTGGCCCCGTGGGCGTGTCCACGTAAAGAGTGGGCGGCGGCAGTGGCCCCGTGGGCGTGTCCACGTAAAGAGTGGGCGGCGGCAGTGGCCCCGTGGGCGTGATAGCGCTGCCCCCCACCCCACCCCACCCGCCCCCTCAACTCACCGGGCTCCTTCCCCTCGGCCACATCTTTGACCCCGCCGCCCCCCAGCAGCTTGGCGACGTAGGCGGCGGCCTCCTGCTCGGCCTTCTCGGCTCCCTTGCCCTTCCACACGGTGGCGGCGCCGCCCGCCAGCAGCACGAAGGCGTCGCTCGAGTTCAGGGAGGCGGCGCTCAGCGCCACCTGCGGGGATGGGAAGATGGGGGGGGGGGGGAGGCGTGCGGGGAAGGTGGCGGGGAGGGGTTGCGGGTCGGAGGTACGAGCAGGTGGGAGGCATGGGGAGGGTAGAGATGGAGAGGTGGCACAGCAGTGGCTAGGAGATGTCAACTACCTCGCCAGGTGTACATGAGGTCGTGGGTTCGATCCCAACCCTGACGCCTGCTGCATATTTGCAGTTTGCGGTGTCTCTCTCCCTCATCATCATCATCATCACCACGGTGGCTAGGAGATGTCAACTACCTCGCCAGGTGTGAGGTCGTGGGTTCGATCCCGACCCTGACGCCTGCTGCATATTTGCAGTTTGCGGTGTCTCTCTCCCTCATCATCATCATCATCACCACGGTGGCTAGGAGATGTCAACTACCTCGCCAGGTGTACAGGAGGTCGTGGGTTCGATCCCGACCCTGACGCCTGCTGCTGCTGCTGTGTATTTGCAGTTTGCGGTGTCTCTCTCTCTCCTCGTGGTCGCGTGGAGTTTTCTCCGGGTCCTCTGCCTCTACCCTCCACGTTTAGAATGAACACGCGTTTAGAGTATTTGGCTGCTATAAATTTCCACGTGATAAGCCACTTCGTTGAGCTATCACCTGTGGCCAGGTCGCTTCTGAAAAAGAGCGATGTAGCTCAGTTGGGCCTTACCTGGTAAAATAAAAAAATAGTTGAGAGTTTATAGGTGAGTAAACACCGGGAGAAGGGAGATACGAGGGGAGAAGGCAGGGAGAGGCAAGGAGGTGGGAGATGAGTTAGTAGGTCTGAATGTTGGCATGAGGCAGTGCGGGATGGTGAGTGGTGAGGCCTGCGTCCAGCAGTGGATAAGCCATAGCTGCTGCTGCTGCTGATAATGGTGATGAGAGAGCATGACGGAGAGCGGACGTGAATGTAGTCAAGGACTAAAACGACGAGGGTGACGACGACGACGATGTTGATGAAGATGACGAGGATGATGACGACGAGGGTGACGACGACGACGATGTTGATGAAGATGACGAGGATGATGACGACGAGGGTGACGACGACGACGATGTTGATGAAGATGACGAGGATGATGACGACGAGGGTGACGACGACGATGACGTTGATGAAGATGACGAGGATGATGACGACGAGGGTGACGACGACGATGACGTTGATGAAGATGACGAGGATGATGACGACGAGGGTGACGACGACGTTGATGAAGATGACGAGGATGATGACGACGAGGGTGACGACGACGATGTTGATGAAGATGACGAGGATGATCACGACGAGGGTGACGACGACGATGACGTTGATGAAGATGACGAGGATGATGACGACGAGGGTGACGACGACGTTGATGAAGATGACGAGGATGATGACGACGAGGGTGACGACGACGACGATGTTGATGAAGATGACGAGGATGATGACGACGAGGGTGACGACGACGTTGATGAAGATGACGAGGATGATGACGACGAGGGTGACGACGACGACGACCTCACCTCGACGGCTCTGGTGGCGCCCGCTGAGGAGCTGCGCACCTGGTAGAGGCGCGTGGGGGCCTGGGGGCTCTGCCCCCCCTTGCGGGAGGTGCCCCCCGCGTGCACCACCAGGGGCTTGCCCCCGAACAGGCTCAGCAGGTGGGGGGGCTCGTAGCCCTGCTCCACGCGCACCTGGGGGGGGGGGGGGTGGGGGGTAAAAAATACAATCAGGAGGAGGAGGCGGAGACGGGTGGTGCGAGGGGGGTGAAGAGGAGAAAGTGGAGGTGGAGGAGGGAGGGGGTTGAAGAGGAGGGTTAAAGAAGAGGGGGGGCGAGGGGGATGAAGAGGAGGAGGGGGAACGGTGGGGGGGCGAGGGGGATGAAGAGGAGGAGGTGGGGGGGCGAGGGGGATGAAGAGGTGGAGGGGTGGGGGGCGAGGGGGATGTCGGACCTGCACGGGAGAGCCACCGTGGGAGTCGTCCAGCTGCACGGTGAGCATTGCTGAGCGTGCTCGCTCGTCCGGGGTCGCCTTGACTCCCTGCCTGCTCGCCGCCATCGCGACAACGACGACGTCAGCCACGCTCTATCAAACCGCTGCACGAAGAAAGCCTCGCCGGCCCGCCGCGGCCGCGTCATCGCGTGCCGATTCCGTCGCTCCGACGGCGGGTTCGCAATATCGGCCGTGGCTGACGTCAGTGGCGAGCGGTGTTCCGAACCGGTCCCGGGACCGTCCTGACCGGCGTGGCGAAGTTCGGCCAAACGTCCTCACCACGGCGATGGGGAGGCGGTCATCCGGCCGTGGATTGATCAAAAAGGAAGTGCTCCTGCGAGTTTATTTCATTTCCTCTTTGGTTCTTTCGGTAAAGTCACGGAGAAAATAAAATCAAATGATAATAGAATGCGACGTTTTGATTGCAACACAAGCCACCATCATCACAGTGTTAGCCGACTCTCTGTGTTGTATTGCATTATATTTATAAGTTTACTATGTTTGTTTTTTTCTCATTCATTCTTACCTGATGATGGTTGCTTGTGTTGCAATCGAAACGTCGTATTCTATTACCATTTGATTACATTTTCTACGCGACTTTACCGAAAGAGCCAAAGAGTCATTCCCGCAGTCACGAAAGCTTTGAATCTAGTTTTATTTGATTTGTTTCATGAATTAAAAACATGTCAGCCTTTTGTTGCAAGTTCCCCCCGGGGCGATTGACGGCGTGTCACATGGCGCGCTGCGGCGAGCTTTCGGGCTAAACTTAACTCAGGACGGAAGGACTGTGGGCGGCCGATGGCACGGATAAATATATAAATATATAAACGAGCCCAGGAAGCGTCGGTGGCAGAAGGACAACCTCGCCCACGTGCCGTTCGAACGAGGAACCCCGCGTGCTGCGGTGGGAAAAGCTGTCGGGAAATGTTTGCCGCTGTTGCCGCGAGTCGGGGTCAGATACCCCGGCGTACCGCTGCCAACATCGGCTGTCGGCTGAGCTCGCGCACGTGTGTCTGTACAGTGTACACACACGCGCGTGTCTGTACACACACGCGTGTGTGTACACGTGCACGTGTGTCTGTACACACGCGCGCGTGTGTCATCAGCTGGGGCAATTCCACAATTCCTGACGTGCGTTTCAGGCACTGCGTACATGAGACATAGTGAGTACGTTTGTGGGTGCGTGTGTGAGTGAGAGTGTGGGTGTGTGTATGAGTGCGTGTGTGGGCGCGTGTGTGGATGCGTGCGTTTGTGCGTGCACGAGTGCGTGCGTGGGTCCGCGTGTGGGTGCGTGCGTGCGTGGGTACAAGCGTGGGTGCATGCGTACGTGAGTGCGTGCGTGAGAATTAGTGCCGTAGCGTGGTTGGTCTGGGCCGTGGAGTGTGGAATGATACGGAGAGCGGTCCCCACCAGGTGTAGATGATCTGTCCCGTCTTGTAGGTGTACAGGATGATGTAGCAGTCTCCGCCGTAGAACTGTCCGTAGGTGGCGCGATCCACGGACACCTTGTCCAGGCCCTCAATGCGCCACACCTGGTCGGTCCGGACAGCGAGTTGGGCAGCTGAGTGGCTCTGTGCTGAGCGAGCACGTGTGTGTGCGTGTGTGTGAGTCAGTACGTGTGTGAGTGTGTCAACCCATGGCACCTGGGTCACGCGGCCTCAAAGTACGCTGAGCATGCATGGCACAAGCGCAGTGGTGACGTCACCGCCACTTAGTGGTGAATGGCGGTTCTTGTTGTCGTGCGTGTGTGAGAGAGTTGGTGAGCGAGTGCCTAGGCGGCCACGATCGTGCGAGCGTCCCATCAATGATCCCTCTCAAACCCCATTACCATGCCCACTCTCCAGCACGCCTCGCTGTCCTTCACTCCCCGCACCTCCGATTAGCGCGATTGGCTACGAACGGTGCGAAAGAAGTTCAAGGTACGTATGCCCCTCCCCGCCCTCCTCCCCCCACCCCCTGCTCACCTGAACCTCTCCCTTGCCGTCGTCCACCATGCCGTGCTGAGCGGCCATGGCCGGGTTGGAGTGCAGGGTGGAGGCGTTGAAGGGCACCTGCTGGACGCGGGCGACACTGCCCACGTTGTACGTCTTGCCGGGCGTCAGCACGTCGTCCTTGGTCCTCCAGCCCAGGAAGAACTGCTTGAAGAGCGGCGTCTCCCCTGTCTCGGGCAGCACCGACACCTGGGGAGCAGTGACGTGCGGTGAGGTCAATGGCTGGGGAGGCACCGGCACGGCGGCCCCGCGACGGAGAGCCGCAGTTCCCATTGGGCAGGCCGCGAGGAGTGGCTGGTGAGGAGTGGCTGGCGAGGAGTGGCTGGTGAGGAGTGGCTGGCGAGGAGTGGCTGCTAAGGAGTGGCTGGCGAGGAGTGGCTGGCGAGAAGTGGTTGGTGGGGAGAAGTTGGTGGGGAGTGGCTGCTAAGGAATGGCTGGCGAGGAGTGGCGGTGAGGAGTGGTTGGCGAGGAGTGACTGGCGAGGAGTGGCTGGCAAGGAGTGGCTGGTGAGGAGTGGCTGGCGAGGAGTGGTTGGTGGGGAGAGGCTGGCAAGGAGTGGCTGGCGAGGAGTGATTGGCGAGGAGTGGTTGGTGAGGAGTAGCTGGCAAGGAGTGACTGGCGAGGAGTGGCTGGCGAGGAGTGGCTGGCGAGGAGTGGCTGGCGAGGAGTGGTTGGTGGGGAGTGGCTGGCGAGGAGTGGCTGGTGAGGAGTGGCTGCTAAGGAGTGACTGGCGAGGAGTGGTTGGTGGGGAGTGGCTGGCGAGGAGTGGCTGGCGAGGAGTGACTGGCGAGGAGTGGCTGCTAAGGAATGGCTGGCGAGGAGTGACTGGTGAGGAGTGGCTGGCGAGGAGTGACTGGCGAGGCATGACTGGCGAGGAGTGGCTGGCGAGGAGTGGCTGGCGAGGAGTGACTGGTGAGGAGTGGCTGGCGAGGAGTGACTGGCGAGGAGTGACTGGCGAGGCATGACTGGCGAGGAGTGGCTGGCGAGGAGTGGCTGGGGAGGAGTGGCTGGCGAGGAGTGGCTGGCGAGGAGTGGCTGGGGAGGAGTGGCTGGCGAGGAGTGGCTGGCGAGGAGTGGCTGGCGAGGAGTGGCGTTGTCACCTGGGTGCTGGGAGGGTACTTCATCTTCTTGAGGAACTCCTCCGCGGTGCTCATGCTCTTCTTCCGCTCGTCGGCGTTCGCTTTCTGGCCTGCAGGCGAGCGCCCGGGGACAAAGGTGAGAGTCGCGATGAATGTTGTCCGGCACATCGCATCCGGCGTCCCTCTCCGCTGTGGCCGTGCCTGCTCCCCGTCACGTGCCACCCGGCGCGGCGCGGGTTTGCGATGACACGAGCGGGGACGCAGGCGCGGGCACGAGCGGGAGTGCAGAAGCGTGAGGCAACCACGGGTTTTTGTGCACTGCCCTCTGCTGCCCGGCAACTCCAGCACAGCCCCACAGCAGCCTACAGCACCTGTTGTGCACGCGGCCATCCGTCCAAGCGCTGACGAGGCTAGCAAACCCAGCTTGGCGGCCTTATAAGGAAAACATATAATAGGCGACGTTTCGGGCAGTGGCCCTTCTTCATGGCGCATGGGGGCAGGCGCAACCCACCCCCGCCTGATTCTGTGACCTTCCCGTGAACTCTTGTGTTGGTTTTATTTTATCCAAGACAGCGGCCGTGAATTTGACAGAAAACTATCGTGGCCGCATCCCAGCCATTAGAGACGATGCCACGTGTGGTGTGCAGCCCTCACCCTCACCCTAGCCCTCACCCTAGCCCTCACCCTAGCCCTCACCCTAGCCCTCACCCTAGCCCTCACCCTAGCCCTCGCCCTCACCCTCACCCTAGCCCTCACCCTAGCCCTCACCCTCACCCTAGCCCTCATCCTCACCCTAGCCCTCACCCTCACCCTAGCCCTCACCCTAACCCAAGCCCTCACCCAAACCCTAGCCCTCACCCTAGCCCTCACACCTTACCCTCACCCTAACCATCACCCTCACCCTCACCCTAGCCCTCACCCTAACCCTCACCCTAACCCCTCACCCTCACCCTAGCCCTCACCCTAACCCTCAACCTAGCCCTCACCCTAAACCTCACGCTAGCCCTCACCCAAACCCTCACCCTAGCCCTCACCCTAGCCCTCACCCTAGCCCTCACCCTGACCCTAGCCCTCACCCTAGCCCTCACCCTAACCCTCACCCTAGCGCTCACCCTAACCCTCACCCTAGCCCTCACTCAAGCCCTCACCCTAGCTCTCACCCTAGCCCTCACGCTAACCCTCACCCTAGCCCTCTCCCTAACCCTCACCCTAGCCCTCACCCTTACCCTAGCCCTCACCTTAGCCCTCACCCTAGCCCTCACCCTAGCCCTCACCCTAGCCTTCACCCTAGCCCTCGCCCTAGCCCTCACCCTAGCCCTCACCCTAGCCCTAACCCTCACCCTAGCCCTCACCCTAGCCCTCACCCTAGCCCTCACCCTAGCCCTCACCCTAGCCCTCACCCTCACCCTAACCCTCACCCTCGCCCTAGGCCTCACCCTTCCACACGAAGATCTGCCCCGCAGAGCCGTTGTCGAGCAGGAAGCAGTCTCTCGAGTCGAGCAGCGACTGCTGGAAGGGACTCGCGGCCGCCACCTCCTTCACCTCCATGCGGCCGCTCTCGTCGGAGATCTGCGGCCATCAACGACGTCCGTTACCGTCGCCGGCGTCTCGAGTGCCAGCAGCGTCACCGCCATTGTTTTCATTGTTGTCGTCGTCATCGTCGTCATCATCGTCGTCATCGTCGTCATCATCGTCGTCATTATCTCGTCATCATCATCATCGTCATCGTCGTCATCGTCGTCGTCATCATCATTGTCGTCATCACCTTGTAGAGCTTGGCGGAATTGCGATTGGAGAGATCCGTTTCCACGTCATCGGAGGATCCCGCGGGAAGGGACGGCTTGGAGCCCAGCAGCTGAAATGGATTGAGAGGTCAGAGGTCAAGCTCAAGTGTGTTGGTTTTGTGAAGACGCTCTCATTGACAATAACAAAACCACTGCAGCAGCGATGCCGGAGAGCGAACATCATAGCACCTCCAATTAGCAGAGACAACCAGCGGTGTTACAGGAGGCATCGGAAAAAATATCACGCAATCCTAAATCAAACTAACTTTTGCTGTAAGGAAAATTGGCTTTGACAAATTACTTTGGACGTCAAGTGATGCCAGATGATGTAAAAATCAAAAGCACGTGGACCCCATGAAACACACGTGGCTAGCACTGTTGCTTGCTTTACAGCGGTCTGCATGCGAAGGGTGGCAGTGGTTGGTTGGCGACTTGGTAAAAGGGGTGTTTCATTCGCGGGTTCGTTATAAAGAGGGTTAGTCTATTGGTTGGTTACAGATTAAGACAGATGTTTTGTTTATCCGGTTGGTTGTATATATGACGAGATGGTTGGTTGATTGGTGAGATGGTTAGACAGTGAGATAGACGATCAATTGGCGAGTGAAATGCTGGCAAGACGGTTCTCGTTGGTTGGTTCATTGGTTCCTGACGAAATGGTGAGACGCTCGTTTGCTGGTTTATGTTGTTTATAATAACGAGTCTGTGGATTAGATCACGTACATGTGTTGTTAAACCCGGAGAGGGAGGCTGAGAGGGAGGCTGAGAGAAGACGGAACTCGTTTGGCTTGGGTTACAATTGTAAATGTTGTGGGTTCTCTCTCCAACACACCGGTGCGCTGACATAGGCACGTTTTGTTCCACGTGACAAACCTTACTTACTAAGTGGCTGTGTCGGGCGGTGGTGGGCAAACGACACAACTGCATTGACGCAATCCAACTCCCCCAAAAGAAACCTTGCTACGAACGACACGGGCCGCGAAAGCCCACGTGCGTCAAAACTCCGAGACATCGACATCGTCAGATTCGCCGCGCAAATTTAGTCGACCGCACAGCGGCCGCGGCGGAGACGACGTCGCGACGTTGGGCGAACGGCGCACGGCCGCTCACCTCCGCCAGCGGCGCCGGCTCCTCGCCCTCCTCCACCACGTGCACCGTCGCCCGCCCGTTGCGCTCGTTGTCCCGCACGCCGCGCGCCACCTCGGACGCCTTGACGCGCTCGTAGCGGTTGCAGCCCGAGCCGCACCACTGGTAGATGTTCTGCAGGGAGCACCCGCGGACCGCAACAGGGCCGCGACGGGCGTTGAGAGAGAGGCACAGAGAGAGAGAGAGAGACGGAGAGGGAGGCTGGGAGGGAGGCTGAGAGAAGACGGAACTCGTTTGGCTTGGGTTGACCACTCGGTGACCTGGGGCAGGAAAGAAAACACGCTGGTTTCGTTTGAGCCTCTGAGAGAGACACCCATGGATTTAGCGAGGGGTGAAGTACCTGGGCCTCCCCTTGATCGACTCAGTCTCAAACGAGTACCTGGTGCAGTGTGTGAACATCGCCACGAGGGAGACAAAGGCGGCCGGACGTGGTGCTGGCCACCCACCCCTTCGTGTGTCGCTCCATCCTCCGTAAGTGCTCGTTAACAGCACTTGACTGAAAATTCCGTTAAGGCTGTATGGGGGATCTTTGTCGTTGTGGGTGCGAAACCACTTGGACCAGGTGTTGGCCAAGGGGCCAGTCGACCACAAGGGACGGAGATTATTCTACTCGGCGCAGGATAACATCAAACAATAGACTGTGGATCTTTTTCTAAATTAAAGGGGGCGTAGGAGCGTGGTGAAGAGCTTTGTGGGAAGCCGTAAGTCCCAGGTCATTGTGAGCTCGCCTCTGCATCAAGACGCAGCGAATGATGATTGTTGTGGTGGCTTACGCCCCCTCCCAAGATGAAGACACGTACGAGGAGGGCAGGCAAGACTGAGTCAACCAGCTGATCTGTCCATCTGTCTGCTGTGCTTGCCATTCAATCACTGAAGGGGTATGCATCCACCTAGACTCTATTCAAACCTACAATAGCTTGGCCTCAGCAAGCTGTTGAAAGTTGAAAATGAGAATTTGATCATTGGTTATCGCTGGGTTGGACATCTCCCCGACAACCTTTCCTTCCTGATGCAGAGTGGAAGTGGTTGAGGTTCAGGAATACGGCTCATTGTGCCTCTGGCTGTGTTGTGTATTTATAAATGTGTGCGAGTGTGTCTGGTAGTGCACCGGTTAGCGCTGCGCTACGAACCCGGCGACCCGAGGTTGATTCACGCTCACGGCCTACGCCAGGGACGATTATCTGAACCGGTTCTGCGCCTCCTCAAGGTCGACTCAGCCTCAAAATGAGTACCTGGTGCGATTTATAAACAATGCCAATGGGGACACAAAGGCGGCCGGGCGTGGTGCTGGCCACCTACGCCCTCGTGTGCCGTGTCGGCCTTCATAAGTGCTCGCTAACAGCGACAGTCTGTTGTTACAGGCTATACGGAGGAACTTTGTCTTTGTGCGTGTCCATCCTCACCGCCCCCAGGTCGACGATGAAGCAGTCCCCCTGGTTGAAGCTCGCCCAGGAGAGCGGCACCTCGGTGGCACGCACCGTGCGTCGCCCCTTCACGTGCAGCAGCCGCTTCACGTCCGCCAGGTTGGGCTCCACGTGCTTGAAGCCCGAGGCAACGCCGCCCGCCTGCACGACAGCAACAACGACGACGACGATGACGACGACGAAATGACGAGGTCCAGCAGAGTCTCATCCTCTGACCCGGCATTCGAGTAGGGAGCTCGCCGCTCCGTTGTTACGCAGCGGCACCGGGCGGTTCACGCGAGCGCGCCGCACCTTGTACTTGATGCCGCCCTTGAAGTAGGAGAGGAACGAGTTGGACTCGTGTCCCTGCACCTCGCGGTACTGCACGGGCCGCCCCCCCAGGGAGTCGTCCAGCTGCACGGTGAGCAGGGCAGCAGCGCCGGACTCGTCCTGAGAGCACTCGCTACCTGCGGCGGGGACACGCGCGGGCCCGAAACGTCGGACAGCGTCAGCACATGCCGCGGCACGTCGAGACATCTCGCGTGCCAGACTAGGGGCCCCCCTTCCCCACAACCCCGACCCTGTCAAATTTGCCCACCTCTCCGTGGGGACCTTCATCGCCGCCCCCCCGCAGCTGCACCGCCCCCCCCCCCCGCGCGCCGCTCACCGAGCCAGTAGTGGAGGTTGTAGCTCAGGGTTCCTCCGCCGGCCTTGAGCGAGTTGAGCACCACGTAGGCGTCCCCCGTGAAGAAGTTGCCGTACTGGTTGCGCGCCACGGCCACGGGACTCAGCTTCTCCACCCTCCACACCTGCAGCCCCGCCTCCTGGCCCGCGCCCTTGAACCCCGCGTGCAGCACCATGGCTTCAGGTCGCGGGGGTGTCTGGGGGTCAACAGGACGGGGGAGGAGGATGGAGAGAAGTTGTGACGCAGCTCGCTCTGTGTACGGTCAAGGGGGCTACGCACGCTGGATGTTCGCGCTCCTCCCTTATTACAGACCACTTCACACCGTATTGGTCACCCCGTGCCCGTATTAAACCCAACGCTCATCCTACAAAGTCCCATCACAACAGGGAGAAACAGAAAACAAATAGACACGAATATAATCGTTTTGTTTTGCCCGTATTGAGACGGCTGCACGGCGTCTGCGCCTGAAAACTCAATTCCCCTGGTCAAGAACACGGGCGTAGACCACGTGGTTTGACACGATACGCAGATGCAACGCTTCAGTAGCCGCCGAGAGACGGACACCTGCACGGAGCCACCGTCCTCGAGTCGAGGGTGGGAGCCGCTTGCCAGCCGAGCCAGCGGCTCCACGGGAGGGGGGTGCCGAGGGAGGAGGGAGGGGGTCGCTGACTTCTTGCAAAGAATCGCGCGGTTGGAGAGACGCGGCGCTCGGGGGTGGGAGCGGCGTCCGTCTCCGTCGGCCCTCGGACACGCGGCGCGGGGGTGACACCTCCTGGTGTGGTGCGAATGCAGCAATACAACGAGCAGCCCGTACGTCCACTGGACGTGTCCGTCAGTCAGTCCCTCCTCCAGCCAGCCAGCAAAACTGGCTTCACGTGTTGTACGATATTCCTGCCTCTGCGTGTGGGTGTTCGCGGCTGTGCTGCTCAACGGCTCTCCGATGCCTTTTCGGGGCAGTACCGCGCGCTTATGTGCTGTTCGGCTCGATGTCTGATGTATCTCTGCACGTGCTGGGGAGCGAAAGGTCGGACATAGTGCCGAACGATGCATACGTGCCAGTCTCTGCACGAGTCTCTGGGTCCTCTGCACGACTCGCTGGGTCTCTGCACGAGGAGTCTGTGAGTCCTCTGCACGAGGAGTCTGTGGGTCCTCTGCACGACTCTCTGGGTCTCTGCACGAGGAGTCTCTGGGTCTCTGCACGAGGAGTATCTGGGTCCTCTGCACGACTCTCTGGGTCTCTGCACGAGGAGTCTGTGGGTCCTCTGCACGAGGAGTCTGTGGGTCCTCTGTGCAAGCCAATCCGTGACCGTGCGGAAACCATCAAGTCGCTGCGATCGAGAACCTGGCTCAATCACAGTGCAGCTGACTGCCCGGAGGGAATGGTTTCGATTTTAGACGAAGAGGGACGAGGAAGTTGGAGGTGGTGAAAGAGGCGGAGGCTGCCCGACTCGTTGTGTAACTCCGATCGCCTCTCTAGAGAACCTGGCTCAATCACAGTGCAGCTGACTGCCCGGAGGGAATGGTTTCGATTTTAGACGAAGAGGGACGAGGAAGTTGGAGGTGGTGAAAGAGGCGGAGGCTGCCCGACTCGTTGTGTAACTCCGATCGCCTCTCTACAATGTCGCCTCTAATCCAGAAGGGGGAGACAAAGGCGGAAAAACCTCGGCTACGGAAAATCTCGTCCGAGCAGCTGATGCATCACGCACAATCAACTCGTACCTTCAAAGCACTGACCCTAACGCTGACCCTTACACTGACCCTAACACTGACCCTAACACTGACCCTAACACTGACACTAACACTGACCCTAACACTGACACTAGCACTGACACTAATACTGACCATAACACTGACCCTAACACTGACCTTAACACTGACACTAACACTGACACTAACACTGACCCTAACACTGACCCTAACACTGACCCTAGCACTGACCCTAACACTGACACTAACACTGACACTAGCACTGACCCTAACACTGACACTAACACTGACCCTAACACTGACACTAACACTGACCCTAACACTGACACTAACACTAACCCTAACACTGACCCTAACATTGACACTAACACTAACCCTAACACTGACCCTAACACTGACACTAACACTGCCCCTAACACTGACCCTAACACTGACCCTAACACTGACACTAACACTGACACTAACACTGACACTAACACTGACCCTAACACTAACACTGACCCTAGCACTGACACTAGCACTGACACTAACACTAACACTGACCCTAACACTGACCCTAACACTGACACTAACACTGACCCTAACACTAACACTGACACTAACACTGACACTAACACTGACACTAACACTGACCCTAACACTGACACTAACACTGACACTAACACTGACACTAACACTGACCCTAACACTGACACTAACACTGACACTAACACTGACACTAACACTGACACTAACACTGACCCTAACACTGACCCTAACACTGACCCTAACACTAACACTGACACTAACGCTGACACTAACGCTGACACTAACACTGACACTAACACTGACACTAACACTGACACTAACACTGACACTAACACTGACTCTAACGCTGGCCCGATCACTAAAACTGATTCTAAGATTAACCCCGACCTTAACTTGACAATAACCCTGACACTGACACTACACCGATTTAGAACCCCGACGTGGATTATTGACAGCGCTTCTCCGAGCTCTGTGTTTTATCTGCCTGTCCACCCCCGCCCCAAACATGAAGACAAAGATCCCCCGTGTAGCCTTAACAGACTGTTGGGGCAAGTGCTGTTCGCGAGTAGCACCTATGAAGGCCGGAACGTCGCACGTGGGGGCAGGTGGTGGCCAGCACCACGCCCGGATGTGTACACCGCGCCGGGTAGCCATTTGAGGCTGAGTCTACCTAGGAGAGGCCCATGACCGACCGCTCACGGCAACGTAACCGGTGTTACGTTGCCGTGAGCGGGAATCGTGAGCGCATCCGCGCGAGAGGCCGAGTTGGAAATCCGCCAAAGGATTCACGCCCAGCCAAAGAAACCGAGTGGGAGACGCGGCAGTGGTTCGTGTCCCTTCCCTGCAAAGTAACAACGGGGGGCGGGGGGCTTCGTTTGGCCGAGCGACAACGCCACAAATCACAACAAGACAAAGGTCGCCCCCCCCCCGCCACCTCCTCGTATAGCCCCGCACAGGCCGTGAGCGCAGCACCCCCCCCCCCGACTCTTGAAGAAGGCCGGCAGGGACGGGTGGCTGGTGAGCGACTTGGCGCACCAAGTTCCTCTACTTATTTAAGGCTGAGTCGACCTGGGGGTGCTGTTGTGGCTCGCAGGGGTTCGGAGTGCAGCGCTAACCCCTGCGTCACCACTCCCACTCCCACACCCACGTACGTATACATACAAAGACAAAGGTCACCCGTGTAGCCTGTAACAGACTGTAGGGGCAAGTGCTGTTAGCGAGTAGCACCTATGAAGCCCTGAAGGGCGCACGAGGGGATGGGTGGCCGCCTTTGTCTCCCCAGTGGCGATGTTCACACCGCGCCAGGCACTCGTTTGAGGCCGAGCGTGAAACGAACTCGGGACGCCCCGCAGCGTGTCGCTCACCGCGACACGATCGCTCGACACGCGCAAGCGCAGCCACGTCCAAAGTCTCAGGAGAGTTCTGCCGATGTCGCCTTCGGCTCGCAAGCGCGCGGTTGTTCGACGTTCCGAGGCACGTCGGGAGGCGACGAACGATGCGCGGACGGCCTTAGACGAGAGCGCGCGGACCCGGGACGCTTACGATTGTGCCGAGTCGGTCGTTCTCTGCGCTACCGCTGTCGAGTGGAGATGGTGGCGGTGGTGAGCGGTGATGTCGACGACGTCTCTCGCTGTTGCCTGGAGGACTCGACCCACGGGGTTCCTTCCTTGCGCCGATACTTTAAAGCGGAGGGGCGTTGGGGGTTGGGCTCTGTGGTCAGAGCGACGTCACACGCTTCCACAACACCCGCAAAGACAAAGATCCTCCGTGTAGCCTGTAACAGACTGTGGGGGCAAGTGCCGTCAGCGAGCAGCACCTATGGAGGCCCGCACGGCACACAAGGGGGTGGGTGGTCTGCACCACGCCCGGCCGTCTTTGTTACACATCGGACCGGGTACTCATTTGAGGCTGAGTATACCTAAGGGAGGCCCACGACCGGTTCAGATAATCGTCACTGGTGTTGGCCGTGAAGCGGGAATCGAACTCGGGGCGTCGGGTTCGCAGCGCAGCGTAGCGCTAACCCCTACACCACCGCTCCCCACAGCTACGGTGGGGTTGGGCTTTGTGGTCACCCACACGCCCCCACCCATAACAAAAAAAAACAACAACAACAACCGCCATTCGCCACTAAGTGGCAGTGACGTCACCACGACGCTTGTGCCAGGCCATGTGCACCTTGAGGCCACGTGAAGTGTCGAACGCCCGCTGGCAGGAGGTCACGGGGCAGACCCAGGTGCCACGGGTTGACTGACTGAGATGACTGGCTAATGCACCCCATGTGCCCCCTACTGTCTCAACCTGCTGTGCTTTAGCCACCCGGCGCTCCGCTCGTTGTTTTGAGCGTCGTTCCCCGCCCTCCGTTGTTGTTGGAGGGCGACTGCCTCCAACTGCCCAGTAGCATCCTTCACGAGCCTCCTCCACAGAGGCCGATATTGACACCGCTGGTACCAGTCATCGGCAAGTCCACTCAGCTCCACGTCCTCCTGTACCACGTCACTCCATCTCCTCTCTAGCCCGTGCCGCGCCCGTTTAGCCCCCTCAATCCGGCCAAACAAAAGCTGTTTCGGCATGCAGTGGCTGGGCATGCGGGCTACATAACCCAGCCAACGCAGCCTTGCCTGCCGGAGGAGCTCACCGATGGGACCTTGCCCAGATCTTTCAAGGATTTGTGAGTTCCTCACACAATCCAGCCTGGTTAAACCCAGGATGGATCGTAGGCAGGCTAGCCTAATTTTTTCTAACCGGCGAAGATGTTCCATTAAGGGGGCCCACGTTTCGCAAGCGTAGGGAAGGGAGGGAATGACCGTGGCCGAGAAGACCTGAAGCTAAGTGCGGAGCGACAGAGCAGGTAGCTTCCACACATCGTTACGCAACCGATGAAAAAATATTGCCGCTCGACTGATTCGGAGTGAGACCTCTGCTGTTATACTGTACACCCAGGACCCCATTCCAACCTAAAGTGGCCTGGTCTCAGTTAGCTGATAAAAGTTGCAAGCGAGAACTTCATCAAAGCTTGCGGCTGATGTTGGCATCGTCCCCCACTCCTCCTGATGTCGAGGGTAAATGGGCGAGGTTTAGGACTGTGACTCGTGCAACTGCAATGGCTGCTTTGGGTACGCGGTCCAGACCTCCCCAGAGACCCTGCCTGACAGAGAAGGTGTTCAGGATGTTTGAGAAAAAGCCACAGGCCCACTGTCATCGGCTACAGAATCCCACGTCAGAGAATGAGGAGGCTTACCGCAGCCTTCGCTCGGAGGTTCGGAGAGCCGTGAGGCACTGCAAGGATAGGTGGTGGTCGCGGGTTGCTGAGGAGATGGAGTCTGCCTCAGTGGCCCGTGATCACAAATCTCTATTTAACTCCATAAAAAAAGTAACCTGCAGCGCCACACCTATTACCATCATTAGGGGAAAAAAACGGTGATCCAATTTCCGACTCCCAGGAACAGGTTTGCAGATTTGCTGAGCATTTCTTTGAGGTTCTGGGGAAGGGGAAATCCCTCAGCCAGGAAAACATCGTGGCACAAAGTGGAGATGACCCTGCTGAGGCTGCGGTGCCTCAAATATTGGAAGAAGTCACCCCCTGTGAGTGGCTGGCTGAGGTGCCATCTGTTGAGGAAGTACTGAAGGCGATCCGGAGTCTGAGACCAGGAAAGGCACCGGGTAGAGACGATTTCCCAAGCGAAATGCTGAGAGAGGGTGGCGTTTGTGCACAGACTCCCCTATATGACATCATAACAACAATCTGGACCACTGGACGGGTTCCGCAGGAGTGGAAGGATGCCCTGGTGGTCCCCTTCTTTAAGAAGGGGGACCGCACAGTCTGTAACAACTACAGGGGCATCTCACTCCTCAGTGTGCCGGGAAAGATCCTGGCAAGGATTATTCAACATCGCCTTTGCCAGGCACGCTGAGGAGAGGCTTGCGGAGCCCCAATGCGGTTTCAGGAAAGGGCGGTCCTGCACAGATGCCATATTTTCTGTCCGTCTGCTACAGCAGAGGTGTAGGGAATTCCAACAAGACCTACATCTTTGCTTTATTGACCTGGTCAAGGCCTATGACACCATCAGTAGGCCTGGGCTCTGGGTTGTTCTTCGTGCTTTTGGAGTCCCTGACCCTCTGCTCACGATCATTAAGGACCTTCATGATGGTGAGCGGGCCCAGGTAAAACTACGTGGCCGGGAGTCAGAGCCATTCCCTGTACACCTTGGGGTGCGACAGGGATGTCCTCTGGCTCCCACATTATTTAACATCTATTTTGATCACGTAGTTCATGAAGCCTTCAATAGCTGTACCGGGGGAATCTCCATTTGGTACAGATATAATGGCAGGCTGATCGATGGCCGGGTGCGATCAAGGGATGGTTCCCTATTGCTCAACCATGTTATGTATGCCGATGATTTGGTAATAGCTGCTCATTCAGAGGCGGAGTTGGAGACGCTGCTGCTGAGACTGGAGCGTGCCACTAAGAGGTGGGGCCTTACCATCAGCCCCACCAAAACTAAGCACCTGCCTGGGTATTTTGTATCATCGGACACTCCACCCCCACAACTCCCAATCGGTGATGGGGCAGTTGTGGAGAGAGTGGAGAGTTTCCCATACCTGGGCAGTGTGCTTATGACCGGCTCCAGTTTAACAGCAGAGGTCTCGCTCCGAATCAGTTGAGCGGCAATATCTTTTCATCCGTTGCGTAACGCTGTGTGGAAGCTATCTGATCTGTCGCTCCGCACTAAGCTTCAGGTCTCCTCGGCCACGGTCATTCCCTCCCTTCTCTACGCTTGCGAAACGTGGACCCCCTTAATGGAGCATCTTCGCCGGTTGGAATCATTTAGGCTGGCCTGCCTACGATCCATCCTGGGGTTGACCAGGCTGGATTGTGTGAGGAGCTCACAAATCCTTGAAATAGCTGGGCAAAGTCCCATCGATTTAAAGCTTTCGTGACTGCAATGATTCATCTTCTTTGGTTCTTTCGGTAAAGTCATGTAGAATGAGAATAAAGTAATTAATTGATTAAATAAAATAACACAATAATATTCTCACGACGTTTCGGCCACAACACAAGCGGCCTTCATCAGGTGAAGGGACGAGACTGTCTGGTAGGACAGCGCTGGAGTGAAACAGCCACGTTCAGATCACGACCTTTAAGCTGTGTGAGAGGAAACAAAGCGCCTTGACAAAGGAATTAGCATATAATTTAGCATTGAAATGGCTGAGTGATTAGCTTGTGACTGGTCACAGAAATAGCTATGTTAAAAGTTAAAGCATACACATCCGCAGAGGCACCCCTTGACAAAGGAATTAGCATAGAATTTAGCATTGAAATAGCTATGTTAAAGCATACACATCCGCAGATCCACACACCGAAAAGATAGACGTCAACAAAGTCGTAATTAATCGCAGTAACAGTTCCATTTCTGATGGTCTGAAATCCGTTTTCGCTAAAGGTCTAAACTTTGCTGTCACACCGAGACACTTACCGGTTAATGATATCATTGCCCATGTCGATGTTGCACTCAAGGGCTTGAGTCACATCTCTGCAGACGTAGCAAGATCTGAAATCGCTGCAACCCTCAAAAACGCTAAGTTGCCACCCAGCAACATCAGCAAAGACGAACGTTTTGAATTATCTCAATTAAAAAAGAGGGATGATATTGTCGTCCTCTCAGCCGACAAGGGCAATGCCACTGTCATCATGGACAAAACAGAATATAACAACAAAATTCAAGAACTACTCAACGATGCCAGCTATACAAAAATAAAAAGAGATCCCACCAACAGCCTGGTCACCAAAACGAACAAAATCATCTCTGATTTAGTTCCATCTGTAAAAGATGCTGTTCTAGACATACAGTACCCGGGCGTTTACAAACTAAAGTGCCTCTGTGGTAGTAGCTACATTGGAGAAACCAAACGACATATCTCGGACCGCATCCGCGAACATGAAGCAGACTTGAAACACGGTAGAACGAACTCCTCTGCCGTGGCAGATCACTGTTATTATTCAGTGGGCTCACATGACATTGACTTCTCCAAGACGGAGGTTCTTTGCAAACCAACCGGCTACCATGAGAGATTCGTTCATGAGGCCATTCACATATACAAGCACAGAGACAATTTCAACCGAGAAGATGGATTCTGGCTTAGTAACCATTGGAAAGATGTTTTAAACCATTTCTGTTCTTAATTAATTGTATTTTACGATGACCTTCAGACCGCAGCTCTTTCGCCAGCATTGACTCTTAATACCTCTCACACCACGGTTAATGGTATGGTTTACAACATGGAGTATAATAGCGCCTCGCAGCTGTCTCTCTCCCCCTCCTCTGTTCCGACCATGGATGAACTCGTCCGTCTGAACGGGGCCCGTAGCTATCCGTGGTGCTAAAGTTGAGGGTAAGAATCCACCCATTTTTTTCGCCATATAGCATTGTGATATATAACGACTTATTGTTGGTAGCTTAGCTGATTGGAGAATATAGAGTTTATTGATAACATTAAGGTAATTTATATTTTAGTTTTTTATTGGTTCACTATATAGTACTGTGAATAGCTCAGATGTGTAGGCCTTGACTTCAACATAGTCATTTCTGTGACCAGTCACTAGCTAATCACTCAGTTATTCCAATGCTAAATTCGCCTAGTTATTTCAATGCTAAATTCTCCTGTTTGATTTGTACTAAGTGCCTCGGTGAATGTGTATGCTCTGACTTCAACATAGCTATTTCTGTGACCAGTTAC